AATAATGACATATATATAAAATAAAGATTATATATATCATCTCATAAATACTGATAATGGCCGGCTGTTTTATTTTTGTACTTTGTCAATTATGTCTTTTTCAAAATGAAAAATAAACTTGTGATTTCTAACTAAAAAAATGGTAAAACAACTGGATATCTGCATGAGAAAAATTAGCATTCACTCTTACTTTGTGCTATATGCAATAACGTGAAAGGCACCACACATTTAAATGCAAGGGCTAAAACCACTAAATTTCTAAAAGAAAATGCATACAAAAATCTTTACGATACCTGATTAGGCAAATCATTTTGAAAAAAAACTTTATTTCTGAATCACCTTGCCACCTTTGCCAACAATCAATGGACCATATAAACGTAGGTCTGTTTCTGGAACAGACCTGAGAGAAAATGATAAACAATTTCCAACAAATTAAAAGTGCGCTTTGAAAGACAATTAATAAAATGCAAAGGCAACTCACAAAGTGGGAGGAAACTTTTGCTAAGCATATGTCTGACAAAGGGATATATATCTCCTAAATATATAAAGAACTCCGTAATAAGAAAAACTCAATAATAAGAAAAACAACTCAAATTAAAGAAGCAAAAAAAACTTTATTCAGCAAATAGCGCTAGAACTGGGTATTTACAAGAAAAAAATGAACATTTTTCTTCACACTATTCACCCCCGAAATTACTTTAAATGGTTTACACCTAAATGCAAAAGTGAAAACTATAAAAATTCTAGGGATAAAAGGGACCTTAGGGTATACTTTCTCATACAGGAAATACGAAGCGTATCCATAACACGAAAAAGCTGATAATTTGGACTTTATCAAAACTAAAGTTAAGACTTTTGTTCTTTAAAGACATGATCAAGAAAACAGAGTAAGATGTGAACATGGAGAAACTACGTACAACACATAAATCAGACCAGAACACACACAACTGATGCAACTCAACAATAAGGGGACAAACCACCTAGAAAAGAGAAGGTGTAAAGTGTGAAGACACGTTACAGGTCCCCAGAGAGCCAGCAAGGACAGGAGAGGAGAATCTGCATCGTCACCAGGAAAGTCGAAGCCACGCCGACCGGACAGCCCACGGCACAGGCTGCTTAGGATGACCGCACTGGGGGCTGGAAGGGGCTGCGGGCTGGCAAGGATGGGGGGCGACCGCCTTTTGGGGGAGGGGTGTCGCTGCCTCTTGCAGTGGGAAACAAATCTGCCACGAGACCCGGCACCCGTGCTCCAAGGCGCTCGCAAGGCGAGGGCACTGTTCGTCCGCACGCGGACTCGTACACGGATTTTCCGGCAGGTGTCTTTCTCATAGTGACAAACATGACAACCGCAGCGTCCGCGAATGGGTGAACGGGGTGGAGCCGTGCCAGGAGCCGTGCTCTGGGCACACGGGACGTGCGAACGCCCTTTCCGCTCGCGAAGGCAGCCAAGGCCTCGAGCGCAGGGCCCGACTTCCGGGGAAGTTTAGGAAGCGCCGTCTGGCCTGCACCAGCAGCCTCTGTGGTCGTCTGCGGTGGAGACGGTGGGAAAGAGGCGTTGCGCGGGGCTGAGGACGAGTTGGGGGCCACCTGCCGCGGGTCTTGATCGTGCTTTTGTGGTGTATGTCAGTCGAAATGCATCGAACAGCACATTTTGAATACGTGCACTTTGCTGTGTGTAA